CACACACACACACACACACACACACACACACACACACACACACACACACACACACACAGCCTATCAGAGCTGCTGTTGGACAAAACACACAACTGAACAATCCCAGAATGCACTTACTCAGTGGCCATGTTGCCTGCAGGATCCTGACGCTTTCTGTATGAAAAATAAAACCTCGTTAAAATGTTTGATTTTAGTTTTGTATTCATTACTACCAATGTAAAGTTTTACAACGGCTGAGCCTCACAGGTAACAGCTCTTCTTTCCAATATGTCCTTGATTAAATATGTTATAACATCATTTATAAATGCCATTTAATTCCCATGCAGGCATTTGTCACAACAACAAATTAAAGTTAACATGTTCAAAAAGAGCAAGTGAAGCGTAATGTTTTTATTAAAGATCAATATTCAACAAAGTTATGCGTTGACTTCCTGTTTCAGCTAACTCATATTTAGCACAGTGTTTATAATGATGTCATTGATACAGATACACATGCACACTTCTATACTGTAAGAACATGTTCATTCATAGACAAACAACACATACACAATATACCTTTAACTATGTCCTCCATGCATCATTCATAAAAGACCTCATCGTGCTGTGAAAATGTAACTAACATTTACTTTAAGTAAATTTTTAATGATTTGCTTTATTGAAAAATAAAGCAAAAATGAAGCATCTCACAATACTTTGTAGAGGATGACAATGAAATTTATGATCAGAATGACATTGTAAATAGATTTAATAATTATTTTGTGAATGTTGGCCCAAGTCTTGCAGTTAAAATACTAAAAGTTGATTATAATGTAAGTCGTACAATAATGAGTTGTACCAACAGTATTTTTCTTAAGGAAACTGACAAAGAAAAAACAATGAATATTGTAACAAATCTTGCAAACAAAAGATCAAAAGACTGGTTGGATATGGATATGAAGTTTATGAAGGAAATAATGGGTTATGTCATTGAACCGTTTACATACAGTAATAACTCAACATCAATGGCTCTCATGGACCTAATTGAACAAATAACTGCTGCTGATCAGAAACAATACTGTGTCAGTGTTTTTGTTGATTTAAAAAAACATTTGATACCATTGACCACAGTATCCTTCTGGAGAAATTAAACAAATAAGACATAAGAGGTCCAGAACTATAGTGGGCATCAAGTTATTTAACCAATAGGAAACAGTTTGTACAAATTAATGGCATAAGGTCTGAACTTTACAATATTGTGTGTGGGGTTCCACAAGATTCTGTAATGGGACCAAAGTTGTTTCTTCTACGAATTAACGACTTGGTAAATGTGTCAGGGTTGTTTAGATGTGTTTTATTTGCAGATGACACTACATTTTTTTGCTTGGGTAAAAACATAGAACAGATGTTGGAAATGATGGAAATAGAAATTTTAAAAATACAAAATTGGTTTAATCATAATAAGTTATCATTAAATTTGGATAAAACAAATTACATAATATTTAGTAATAGAAAGAAAACAATTGATGTTCCATTTAGAGTAGAAGGTGTTGAGATCTGTAGAGCCAATGAGGTGAAGTTTTTGGGTGTCATCATTGATGAAAAATTGACATGGAAACCTCATAAATTACTTGAGAACAAAAATGGCAAAAATCTATTGCAGTACTGTATAAAGTGAAGGAGTTAGTTAATGACAAAGCACTATTTATCCTATATAATGCAATATCGTTCCACATTTGATATATTGTGTTGAAGTCTGGGAAAATGCATGTAAAACAATTACCAATCCTATTTTTATTTTACAAAAAAGAGCCATAAGAATTATCACAAGAAAGCATTATTATCATCCTTCTAATATATTGTTTCATCAATTAAAATTATTAAAATGTCATGAGTTGGTTGAATATCATGTTCTGCAGGTTATGTTTAAAGCTCATAAAAATGTGTTACCTTCAACTATCCAATCAAATTTTGTTAAAAGGGAAAGCTGCTTGTAGCGGAAACGTGAATATCTTCTCAAGAGACAGTCCTGTTAACTCCACCTTTTTTATCCTGCCTGCAACATCTCAAAGTTTGAATAATGACTACTATTAACTCATCTGATACTTCACCCTTAGGCCTTAGAACAAAGACTAGACTTCCTGTCGCCAGTTAATTTGTTTATCACCTCTTTCAGAATAAGACTGGAATAAACATTGCTTAACATCAAAGGGCCCCTGGTGTTAAACCAAGACAAGACAAAACATCAAAAGACTCCCATCAGATTTATCTGTGGGTCAGCGATGCCACCCTGTGGACATTTTATCAACTAACCCTGAAATTATTTTATTTTTCACTCATGTTTTCCATTTATAACTATAAAGAGCATCTGTGAAGTGTCAAAATAATACCTTGGTACTCTGATTTAATTACTGTAATAATCATGACATTGTTTAAGCAATGATCTGGTTTTGATTAACTATCACTCTGTCCTTCTGTTACATGTCTGGATGGTGTCATGTGACCACCGCAGAAAGTCTTAACCAATGAGAAGTTCCGTTGTGAACAGGGAGTATTTCATTGTTCTGCCATGTAGTGAGTTCTGAAGAAGCGTTTGAGGAGAAAGCAGTAGTTTTTTTTAGCTCCAGCTTCCCCTATCTCGGGGCGAGGCCATTCATTTCCACTTTTTACCTTTTTTATATAGTTTAAATCTTAAGGTGCTTTCAGGAAGGAGATTTACATTGATTGAAAACGATGAGGCTGATTTAATTCAAGTCGGACGACCATCAGTGTACTCGCAAGGAACGCAGCCACGGTGCTGGACAACATCTCCAGTGAATGTAGCCGGCAAACCAGATGACCAGGGAACTTCTACACAACACAGCTAAGACTCGTTTGGACTTCACGTGCCACCCAATTAGCATAGAAGTATCCATTCTGGCGTCTACAACTTTGCCGGTAGGAAACATCTTGCTCAATTAATCTGATGGTGTGTTCCAAGTTTTTAAATCAGATCAGAGTATAATCAATGTTCATTCTTCTTCCCTTGAGCTCCCTCTAGCGGTAGGCTTAGGAATAGCGAGTAGTGTCCCACTGAAATATGTGTAGAAAGTCATTCACATGATAATCATGCCAGATTAATTACATCACTTCTTGATCAAGTTTACGAAACTGATTATGTGTTTTTGTCTGAGAAATGATTTGTAATGCATATATTTCCCTCTGAACCTCATTTTAAATAAAACACAGATGAATTTCTAAACGTGAGTTGTCTTCGCCTGTATTTCCTTGTCTCACGCCGTCGTTAAACTGGAAGAATAAACGCCTTCATATTTAGAGATTGAATATTAAAAAAGTTTTTCAGAAGTTTTACTAAAAAAACTTTAGTGGTGCCTCGAGGAACAGATAATTTGCATATTTAAATAATTCACAAATTATCCGTTTTAGAATTCTAACGTTTAATACCCCTACATGCTGTAATTTGAAGGGATTACAAATGTTTGTTAAAACAAAAATCCGAACAAATTTGAAGGACAGATGCACTTCAGTAAAAGGTATAAGACTATGGAATAATCTGGAAAATGATTATAAAAGCATTGGAACAATTAATTCCTTTAAAAAATGATCAAAGCAATTTTTAAAGAAATATGAAATTGTTTAATTTGTATTTGTATGAGTTACTGTTTGAAGAGTTGAATTTTTTTGTTTTCTTTTATGATTTGTTTTATTATTGTTTGAAATTAATATATATTTTTGTAAATAGGAGTAGATATAAGATTTTTTTCCTCCTACTGCTGCCTTTCATTTTATTTTATTTGTATTGTTTTGTTTTATGTAATGTGTTTTGTTTTATTTATTAAAATGAAATAAATAAATAATGATTTCCTTTATACTTTTATTTGAGTAGATTTTTACACAGGTACTTTACTTGTACTTGAATAAAATGTCAACTGCATAACTGTGTATGCTATTTTAGTACTTTTTTCCACCTCTGTCCAAATCTACCATAAAGAGAAGACTGCATGAAAGTCAATATAAAAGTTTCACTGAGCACTGCAAGCCATGAATAAGCCTCAAGAATACAAAGGCTAGATTAGACTTTGCTTAAAAATATGCAAAAAAAACAGCAGAGTTCTGGAAGAACATTCTTTGGACAGATGAAACCAAGCTCATCCTCTACCAGAATGATGGAAAGAGGAAAGTCTGGTGAAGTCTGGTGATCCAAAGCACCATATCATCTGTAAAACACAGCAGAGCAGTGTCCTGATGCATCTCAGTAATCCAGGTAAAAATCAAAAAGAAAAAAAATTGTATAGGTCTTCTGGACGGGTTCTTCTCTAATGAAACGTTTCGTCTCTTCTCCAAGAGACTTCTTCAGTCTGAGAGTTTCAGGCAAAATTCAGGCTTTTAAGCCCTGCCTCCATGTGACTGATACTCACATCACATGGCTATCGATGACACCTGATTAACACTTATTGTTAACAGGGGGTGGAGTGATACTGGCAATGGCCGCGCTGTAGGAGGGGGACAACTGAGCAGCAGAGCAGTGTGATGCTTGGGCATGCATGGCTGCCAGTGGCACTGGGTCACTAGTGTTTACTGATGATGTGACACAGGACAGAAGCAGCCCAATGAATTCTGAGGTATTCAGAGCCAAACTGTGTGCTCAGATCAGCCAAATGCAGCCAAACTGATTGGTTGTTGTTTCATACTACAGATGGACAATGACCCAAAATATAAAGCCAAAGCAACCCAGTAGTTTAATAAAGCAAAGAAGTGGAATATTCTTGAATGACCAAGTCAGTCACCTGATCTCAACCCAGTTGAGCATTTCACTTGTTAAAGACTAAACTTCAGACAGAAAGGCCCACAAACAGACAGCAACTGAAAACTGCTGCAGTGAAGACCTGGCAGAGCATTAAAAAGGAGGAAACAGAGTCTGGTGACGTCCATGAGTTTAAGACCTCAGGCAGTCATTGCCAGTAAAGGGTTTTCAACCAAGAACTAGAAATTAACATTTTATTTACAATTATTTCATTTTTCCAATTACTTTTGAGTCCCTGAAATGAAGGGATTGTGTTTTGAAGATTCTTTAGTTCCTCACAATTTTATGATATCACTTTCTTCAACCCACTGAATTAAAGCTGAAAGTCTGAACTTCAACTGCATCTTTTTGTGGTAATGTACTGAACCAAAAT